TCCCCCCCCCCAACTGTAATTCACATCAGTGCCAGTTCTTTTGCAACATCCCAAGATGGGGGAAATTGATGCATCAAAGCCAAAAGATTCCCTTCATGTGGAGCCAAGCATTGTTCCTGTCGCTAGTGTTTCTACTCCAGAATGAAATCCTGATGATGAGGGCCACTTCCCAGGCATCTCCATGTAGCCCAGAGCTCTAGCTTGCTCAGAATTCCACCTCCCACTCTGGGCTCTGGCACCACCAGCCTCTCCCCTGCTCCACTCTCCCATATGTGTTGTCTTCCCCATTAGGAGGTATGTTCATTGACGGCAAGGCCGGCTTTGCTGGTTTATATTGGTGTTCCCAGCTCCTAACCCAGTGCCTGGTACACAAAGAGCCTCATAAATGCTTTTCTATTCATTCAGTGACAAGAGACCTGGAGTCTGAGACTCAGATCTTAGATGGGCTCAGTCTGGGACTAAGCAGCTTTCCTTCCATCCAGCTTCATGGCAGTGGGGGAGTGGAGTCCTGTAGCAGTGAGTCAGGCCAAATAGCCAGAGATTACCTGCCTAGAGGAAGTGGGAGCCCTCCAGATAGCAGCTCTGCCCTCCACTTGAAGGAGAAATTTATTCTTTGGGAGCCGGGAGATTGATTTCCTACCTGGGGGGGTGAGGTTTACTCTCTGGGAGTCTGGTGATCACTCTCCAACGTCACTGACCTAGATTTAAGGCTTGCAAAGCACTTTACATACATGTTATATCATTGGAGCCTCCAAACATACTTGTGAGGAAGGCATTATAGGTCCTATTTCCATTTCACAAATGAGCAGGGGTGGGGGTGGGGGTGGCGGTGGGAGTGTCATCAACATGTAGCAATGCATTTACCAGTATCTCTATTAACTGGGTTGTGTAACTGTGAAATTTCAATATCAGCAGAGTATTTTGTATCCTTTCAGACATCCTAGTGTCCCCCAGGGGATTTGCAGAGAATGTAAACTGTTTCACTGAGGGCCATTTAAGGGTGTGTCCCTTTCAGATTCTGGCTAATTTGTGGTTTCTAAGGGGCAGGTAAAAAGGGCAAGGATATGGAATGGTGAAGCCCATTCAGACTTGGAATGGTTTCATTTGCTCCTCATAAACAGTGTGCCCCTTTGCAGATGTTGGGGTATTATTTTGAGCCTTATAAAGTGTTTTAATCTTAGAGTGACTCGTTTGCATATTAAAAGGCCAGGAAACATACAGAGCCACTATAGAGACTATTAACTTGTCCCCATCCCTACCCCACGTCCCTTTGTAGTAGAAGCAATAATCTGCTTACTGGAAACATTTGAGTATGAAAACAACAGATTCTGTTTGTGGGTCTGTGCATAGACAGGCTTCTGGAGGAGAAGTCAGGGAAAGAGCAGACCTTTCTTGGGATTTCCTCAGCCTGGGTCCTTGTTTTTACACACCTGGTAAAGCTGCTGTCTCTCCTCCTTATTTCTCTTCTTTGTATTTCTCTTCAGTATTTCTTTTCTCTGCTACCTCAGTTGTCCCATTGCTCTGTGCTTGCTTCAACCTATCAAATCTAGATGTTCAGTATCTCCTCATTCCCCATTCTGAGATAGCTTCTCTCTTTTATACAAATTGCTTAGGGCATGATCCAGTCTGTAACATAATGACTGGAATTGATTCAGAGCAGTGTGCAAGCTTTGTTCACCCTCAGAAAGGGTTTTCACCTAGTCAAGGTGCCTGAGCCAAAAGGAGTGATTTCAACCCCAACCCACTGTTTCAGGAAGATCAGACAGAATCACAGAAGTCAAAGTTCAGAAGGCACCATCTCATCTAAACTGCCCTCAAAATGAAATCTCCAGGGGGTAGCTAGGTGACAGCTAGGTGGTACAGTGGATAAAGCATCGGCCCTGGATTCAGCAGAACCTGAGTTCAAATCTGGCCTCAGACATATAACACTTACTAGCTGTGTGACCCTGGGCAAGTCACTTAACGGCACTGCCTAACCAAATAAATAAGTAAACAAACAAACCAACAAATAAATAAAATGAAATCTCTAGTTTGTAGTCAGAGGTCACCCAAGTCTCTGCTAGGGATCTCTTGGGGGGGGGAACCTAGCATTGTCCCCCAGCACTTTTCAAGGCAGCCCATTTTACTTTGGGCCTGATCTAATTCTGAGTAAGGTGTTTCTGGCCTCAAACCTAAATGTGCTTTTTTACAATTTTCACCTATCAGCCTTGGTTCTGTCCTCTGGCACAAACAGTTCAACTCTCATCATCTAATCGTTCTTCCATAGGATTGTCCTTCAGATACTTTAAAAAAATCATGAAGGCTCTGATTCTTCTCTCTTCCACATCAAATATGCTTCGTTCCTTCCAGTGATTTTCTTGTGATGCAGACTCAAGGCCCTACACCATCCTAATTGCCTTCCTCTGGCTATTTTCAAGCTTATCAATATCCTTTTAAAACTGTGATTCTTAGAACTCAACATAACATACCAAACAGGTGTGTTCTAATTAGGGCAGAGCACAGAGGGACTCTTACCTCCTGATTCCTGAAATTGATGCCTCTCAGTATTGCATGTGTAGCTTATGCTCATGAAAATGGTTTCTACAGACGGGAAAGTAGGCATGTGTGGGGCAGTAGATACTGTCTGATTAACTGCCTTTTTGGTGGGGTACTAATAAGATCCAGGCTTTTTTCTTCCCCCACCCCTCAACACTTACGGTATCTGTCCTTCAGGGACCTTATGAATCAATCTCTCAACACTTTTAAAATTGGGTTACCTTGGCAGTGTTCAAGCTCCCATGTCAAATTGGAAATACTCGACATTCAAATGGATCTGCTCCCTCATCAATTCAGGAGTTCCCATGCGACAATGCAGATTGCCCCCACATACACACACACACACACACACACACTCCCCCAAGCTTGCAAGTTTTCCACAGAAGGTTCACTAATATGGTATCAGTCTTCCTTCCTTTTCTTGCCATTGTAAGGAAATCAGTGGAGCACCCTGGCTATCATCCTTATCTTTCCATGACCAAATGATCTTCACTTTATGCTCTATGATTCCCTGATGATAAATCCTCACTGGTTTTCTATGGTAGTCTGTCTGCTCACATTCATCATTGGCCTTGACAATGAAAGAAGTGGGTTTTAAAATGCTACTGTAACATAGTAATAAGAAATCAAGCTGGTTAAGACAGGCTGAAGCCATATTTGGGATGGCCTTAAATGCCAGGCTGTGACTTTTGAATTTTATTTTAGAGACCACAGGGAGCCATTCAAAGGTTTTGAGCCAGAGAGTGACATGGTCAGGCCTGAGCCTGGGAAATTTGATTTTTCCAGCTGTGTGGAGGTTGGAGTGCAGAGGAGAGAGCCTAACAGGAAGCAGGGAGAGCAATCAGAAGGCTATTATGATAGCCTAATCTCAGGTGGCTGTGAAAGAAAAGATCAGAGAAATTGGGGAGGGAATAGTGGAAGTCATGATGATGGGCCTTTTCATTTCTTTTGTAATCTAATATTTATTTCAGTTCCCTCCACACACTAATTGCTCAGTAAATGCTTGCTGAATGAATTTAATTCAATATACACAGGATTCTGGATCAGAGATTTAGAACTGGTAGGTACCTTTAAGGTTATCTAATTGAACCCTTTTATTGTATAGATGAGGAAACAGATCCAGAGAAGTTATGAGTTGCCTATGCTCATGCAGCCAATAAGCAACATATACTGTCACCTTCCTAGAAGTTGGTTGAATTGACTTAACATGGACCCAATAGTGTAAAAGCTTTAAGGGGATTTCCTATGATATTTACAAATCAGAGATTGTTAAAAAATAATTAGGAAGGCTATCAGGCTACACTATTTAGTGTGAGTGTTTTCTGAGCATGATTCTTGGGGACCCCTCAGCTCATGGTCCTTTCTAACCAGTTTTCATGGTTTGCTATTCCTGGTGTTACTGGAAATAGAGATGAGATCTGGCTTGGAGGTCTAGAGCTGGAAATGACCTCCAAGGCCAGCTAATCTAAACCTCTGCTTTTACAGAAGAGGAAACTGAGTCTCAGAGAGGTGAAGCAACTTGCCTAAGGTCACATAGGTAAGTAGCAGCACTAAGATTCAAACTCAGGTCATTAGACTCAAAATCCAGTGCTTTTTCCACTGACTTCTTCTAGTGCTATACTACTGAATTGCACTTCCAGTTTATTATGACTTCTGAAAAGTTCAAAAAACCTCTTACAGGAAGTCTGAGGGAGGCTTAGAAAGCTATTCTACTCCCAGGGCCAATAAAGTCATGAAGACAGTGAATTCTCTCTCCTGGTTAATGAAAGGAAATGATTTCTTTATGTTCACATTGCATACTTCAACCTCCTACATTACGTAAACTCAGAAACCACCTTATTGTTTTGTTTTTGGTTTTTTACTTTATTGTTTTTAATCTAGCCCAAGAGCAGCAACTACTAAGGACTGTTTCCCAACCAACTCTAGGGAAGGAAGATTTTTCTTCTTTATTCTGGGAACCATCACCACAAAGACTCCTTTCTCCTTGATGATCTTGACCTTGGGCAAATCACCTCACTTTCCTGGGCCTCCATTTCCTTCTCTGTAAATTGTGGGGATTGGACTAGTTAAGTCCCAGAAATCCCTTCTATGTCAAAATGTATAAACTATGAATGAAACAGCTTTTCACTCTTCCACTTCCCCAGAAGAAGGAACCGTGGCGCCGTGGAAAGGGTGCCGGACCTGCAGCCAGAAGACCCTACTTCAAACTTTGGCTCGGCCCTGATCCTCCGACAAGTAAAGTACCAGGAACCTTTAATGCAGGTCAACTAACTTCCCTGCATGCTTCCCCAAGCAAGCCGGTGCCCGGAAGGGCGGGTGGAGTTTGCTAAGGTTTGGAGAAAGTGGGCGGGCGGATTGGATTCAAGCTCGGCCCCAAGCCAAACCTGATTGGGCGATGGGGCGGGGCCTGGGTAAAGAGGCGGGTTTGTGAGAGGTTAGTTCCTCCCCTCACGCTCGCGCTACGCCTCCATCCGGGTCCTGTAGCCTCGTTCCCGGGCTGTATAAAGTTCGCCGGCCCCTTTGTTCGTTCTCATTGCGTAGTTGCGTCTGTCCTATTCTTGTCGTCTGGGCAGCTCGGGGGACTTTGGAGAACGAGGGGGGCTGGAACGCGTGCGTACAAAGCCGAATTTAGAGCGCGTGGTGGTGGCGGCGGGAAGCCGAAGCGGGTGAAGCCAGAAGTAACCAGAGAGCCTAGCGCCCTCACTTGCCCCTCCTGCCTAATCGGTGCGTAGGAGATGCCCAGCGGGAGGCTTTCGCTGCACTCCCCCCAGTTAGGTTGGTTTGGGCGGCGGTGGCCCTGCACTTTACTTATAAAGATGGAGGGAGTGGGCGCCATTTTAGGTGGCACTTCGGGCTGGTGGGGGGGAAGGGTGTCAGGCCTAGCAACGGCCTCTCCCAAGAGCCTGACCGAACAGCCTTGGGCCTTGCTGCCCTCACTCGAGAGGCTTCAGCTTGGTCAGAGGGGTGGGGGGGGTTGGTGGAAGGAGGAGGCCGAGGGCTTGTGAGTGGAAAGTGCCAGAGTAGCTGCAGAGGCCCGCTTTGGCCTCCGAGGCCTCTCCCTGGCCTCCGGCGCTAGGAAGGGGGGGAGAGGAGCGGGCCGAGGCGAAGTGCCGGGCTGTTTTCGAGATGGAGCTGCCGCCATTTTGTCTTACTCCCACGCGGTAGCCCGCGCGGGCCGGTTAAGCCCCACTTGGGAGGGTGGAGCTGGGAGGGATCCCGGACTCTCCTTCATTGGCCCCCGCCCTCCTTCTCGGCGAGGCCTTCGCGGCCGTGGCCTGCGAGAGTGTGGGGCCGAGGCTTCCCGGGGAAGCAGTCTCCCCTCCCCCCGCCAGGTTCTGGGTCCCGCTCAATTGCTCAGGAGGCAATCTAGCCCCGAAGGGGCTTGGGCGCAGCCCTCGCTGAGTCCTTGGTGTGCCCTTGAACGGTTTGACCGCAAGCCTTTTAATCTGGCTCAATTTGGGGCAGCAGAGGGAGGTGCACCTTGAGCTCGGGGCGGGGGGGGGGGCGGGGGCGGGGGCTTAGCATTGAGGGAGAGTCGGCCCGAGAGAGAGCGCGAGAGCGAGAGCGCGCGCACAATAATAGAAGATGGAGGGAAGGAGTGGCATGATGGATGCCGAGCAGGTTTGTTACATTTGTTGGGATAGTTTTGTGAAAGTGACTTGAGTTGGACTGGAAACTTTGTTTTTTGGGCTGTAACTTTGAAGTGCCATCGTGCAGGAGTTTTTTTGAAGAAATCATACCTTAGCATGTATTTTTGATGGCCTTAACTTTGGTGGACCTGAATTGTATTGTTTTGTTTTCTTTTGTGGACAGAATATAACAAAGTCAGAATGGTTGAAGCAGATCGTCCAGGGAAACTGTTCGTAGGTGGACTCAATACAGAGACAAATGAGAAGGCTCTTGAAGCTGTATTTGGGAAATATGGGAGAATAGTGGAAGGTGAGATACTAATTGAAAATATTTTATCCCTTGACTCCTCCCCAAAGGCTGGGCAATGATGAATTTTCAATAGCGTTGAACATGTGAAGTGATGATATTCACCCTCTAAGAAGTTCTGAGCTGCTGCTTTGCTGCCTTTGAAAGTGGGGGGTGGCAAAAGTTTTGTGGGTTCATACCAAATTAGAACAAATCATATTTCTCTCCCTCCTGTGTAGTACTTCTGATGAAAGACCGGGAAACCAGCAAGTCCAGAGGATTTGCTTTTATCACTTTTGAAAGTCCTGCAGATGCAAAAGATGCTGCCAGAGACATGAATGGGAAGGTGAGATTATGCTCCTGGCAAATAGTACACCACCATATTTGGTATCATAACTGGCATTATACAGTAGTTTGTATAAAGTACAGGATACTTTTAATTTCACTTTTATTTCAGTTGTCTAGGTTTGTCAATTATAAATGACCAAAACTAGAAATTTTATCAGACCTTGTTTATAACTAAAAGCTAGTATATTTTCCTCAGACCTCAGAATTCAAGTTTCCAATATGGTGTGTGGGATGTATATATTTCCTATACAGTGAAAGTAGTCTTATGGTGGGGTGGGAGTGACCAGACTATTACAGAGTACAAATGATTTAGAATGTGTGAAACTTTGCTGAAAGTTATATAATCTATTCTAGACTATATGTGGAGAGGGAAGAATATTGATGAAACTACTTGGCTTTACTTAACTAGCTCTATATCTACAGCTTGTGTTCTTCACTTAGAAAGTTTCTGATTGAACAAAGAAAGGTTCAAACTAGATTATAACAATGGCAGGTGTAGGAGCATAATCAGTTTCATTTATTGAGACTACATAAATTAAAGAGCAAGTTGAGCCAATGTGAGAGCTGTGAAATATGCACTGGAGTGTTTTCTGGGTGGATTTCCTTGTCCCAACTTCCATTTGTCAGCTGTATTTTTTTCCTTTGTGAAAAAGCTGGGGGGGGGGATGGTATTGGTTTCATACCACAAACTAGAGCTAGCATTAGTCAATTGTTAATGCTCTACTGCTTATAAACCCGTTCTTTTTAGCTCCTCGATGGAAAATCAATTAAAGTTGAACAAGCCACCAAGCCAACATTCGAAAGTGGTGGTAGGCGTGGGCCACCACCTCCACCTAGAAGCAGAGGCCCTCCAAGAGGCCTTAGAGGAGGAGGAAGAGGAGGAAGTGGTGGAGGAACAAGGGGGCCACCATCACGTGGAGGACACATGGGTATAGTTTCTAAGCTAGCTTTTAAATTGTATAAAAGCAAAATTTTTGACTTTGAAGTAAAATTCATAGATGTTTTACTTGGGTATGAGACCTCCCAAGTCTTCGAAAGTATAGGCATAAGCCTAAACTATGTTCCTTTTGGGCGAGTTGTTCCTTATCCAACTGATAAGGTCCAGCGTGAGCAAACAGTTCCCTTCAACACAATTCAAAAAGTTAAGGGCTCAATAACACACCTGTATGAGTCTTTGGATAAGAAAGATAAATAGGCCTTATGCAGCTGGGAAAAATGGCTAGCATTTCACCACAGAGAAATAAGAATTTTCCTTTTATGGTCCTATGAGACTTCTCTCTCACACACCCTTTTAAAACTGCACTCACTTTTTACTTTTTTACACTCAAACTTTTAACCTAAGATGCCAAAATGGTATTTTACCACCACTGCTTGCAAAGTAAACGGCAGAATTAATTAATATAAAAATCTAAAATCCTACCAAGGGAAATCTCTTTATTAACTTAAGATGATTTGTGCTTAATAGCCAGATTCTGTAGTGGAGAGGCAATGTAGACTCCTTGGACATTATTTGTGCTATATCCTAACCTATGGTCATTGTCAACTAGTATAACACTATTTTTTTTTTCCTAATGTAGACGATAGCGGATATTCTCTTAACTTCAACATGGGGTCTTCCAGGGGACCTCTTCCAGTAAAAAGAGGCCCACCACCACGTAGTGGTGGGGGTCCTCCACCTAAAAGATCTGCACCTTCAGGGCCAGTGCGCAGCAGTAGTGGAATGGGAGGAAGAGGTCAGTTCTATAGGTTTCTAGCTGTATATTTTGTTTCTCAAATAACATAGTTTGGAGTTGGGGTATCATTCAAATAATTCACTTGTATGGTACTCTCTCAGAATAAGGCTCTTAAAACAAGTCCACGAGGTTGGAATGTATCTAAGCAAGAATCATGTCTATACACTGAGCAGAGATAAAATACTTGTAGAACATTCTATTTTTGGACAGCTTTAACTGGTTTTCCTTATTGAACAGAAGGTTGCTTCCAACTTCCATCCATTGTTTCTAGTTCTGCCCTCAGAGGCCAAAGAAAACAAACCAAATCTTCCATATGAAAATTTGTCAAATATTTGAAAGACTACCACATAGGCAACGCCCCACCCCTCACCAAGACTAGGCTACATATTAGATGGTTCAATGGATCCTTGTTTTGACTTTGCTCTTTAACAATGTGCTTCTATTAATAGTCTCTAAGATCTCAGTTGGCTGCCACATCCCCCTTTGAATCACATTGGCCTGAGTCACATCTTCCCCATCCTGTACTTTGTACAGTTGACCACAAGTGTGAGACTTGGATGAAGTGCCTACTGTTTGCCAGGCATGATGCTAGGTATAAGGAAAGATATATGTTGATCTGCTGCCTTTAAAGATCTTCTCAGTTTTTAAAAAATATGTATTTTTCCCCCAGTCACATTTAAAAATATTTTAACATTCAAAATTATTTTGAGCTACAAATTTTTCTCTCTCTCACCTTCCCCTTCCCTGAAGACAGTAAACAATTTGATATATGGGTTGTACATGTTCAATCATGTAAAACGTATTACCATATCAGTCATGTGAAAGAAGGACACAGCCCCAAAGGAGGAAAAATAAAGTGAGAAATAGTATGCTTTGATCTACATTGAGACTGTCAGTTCTTTGTCTGGAGGTTGATAGCATTTTTCTTTGAGTCCTTTAGAATTGTCTTGGATAATTGTATTGCTGAAAATAGCCAGGTCATTCACAGTTAATCATTGTATTGCTGTTAGTGTGTACAGTGTTCTGGTTTTACTTACTTCGTATCCTTTTATGTAAGTCCACGTTTTTTCTGAGATATCCCCCCTGCTCATCATTTCATAACAGTAATATTCCAGGAATATGCCACAACTTAATCAGCTGTTTCCCAAATTGATGACCTACATTCTTAACTGGTTGGATCCCCCTTTGGTATTCATCTGTGCCTTCACGTAAAGAAACAGACCCCTGAGAATTGGAGCCCTCTTTATGTTAGTTAACATTCTTCCTGTTAACTTAATAGCTACTCTTTAGGTTTAATTCAACTAGTTTTCAATTGACTAGGTCAATTGTCTTGTGAGACTGTCAAGCAAGGTTATACTATCTCTGGCATCACCTCTGACAGTAATCTAATCCAAAAAAGGGCATATTCTGCCCCAGTTTGTTGGCTTTTTATAAGAAACTATCCCTTCACAAGTCTAGATGTTTCTAGACTTTTGCAGGAATTGGTCTAGTTAAACTTGCTGTCTCATGTTTTGAAGCTTCTCCTATTGGGACACCAGTGTACTTTTCATGGATAGTAATTTGACAATCACCTTTGGGTGTGTAGTAGATGGAATTGGTGTGATTGAGGAAACGGAAGCTGCCTTCTGAAGCTTTCTCCTTTGGCATAGAGAGTGGAGGCAAATAGATAGGACTTCAGCAGTGCTTCTCAGTTTTCTCTGACAATGTCTTGCTTTCTCCACCTAAGGCCTCAAAGTCTGACATCACAGCTGTATCTGTAAAATGCAGATGAGGAGACTGAAGTTCAGAAGTCGTGACTTACCTTACTGCTAATTGTCCATGATCTCGCATCAAGTTCCCAATGGCAGGATGTGAAGCCAGGTTTCAAAAGTGCAGTCTCCATCTGAATACATTTTTGTCAAAGTCTTGCAATGTGCAAGACTCAGAACTAGGTGTCAAATTAGGGAAAACGTTCAAGCGCTTCTTGACTAATTACCAAAAATAAGTGCATTATCTACATCTGCAGGTCATCTGGGCCAATTGTGTAGATGGTAGAGAAAACCAGGGTTGGGATAACAAACTGGAATTATAACGTTAGATTCCAGATAAGACAAGAGAATTAAATGGTTAACGTACTTTTTTTTTTTTAATGCCTTGGTATATGGTAGCTTTTACAAAAATGCAGATAGTTTTGTTTGGGGCACTTGGCGCATAATTCTAATGCTTAGTCTCAAATTTTAGGGATATTGAATTTTTATGAAACTGGCTTTTAAATTGGAAAAAAAAACTTAAATGGCAATTAAAAAATTTGGAAACAACCTATGTAGCATTGCTGTCAGTTTGGTGTACTGCCACTGTTTTAGATAAAGTGTTTTGTTTAAAGCTCCAGTATCACGTGGGAGAGACAACTATGGAGGTCCACCCCGAAGGGACCCAATGCCATCTAGAAGAGATGTTTATATGTCACCAAGAGATGATGGATATAATACTAAAGACAGGTAAAAGGAAATCCCAGAAAACTGAGGAAAACTTCGGGTTTTAAAAGAAACTATAGATAATAAATAGTTGTGTTCTCTTTTAGCTATTCAAGCAGAGATTATCAAAGTTCTCGAGACAACAGAGATTATGCTCCACCTCCAAGAGATTATGCATACCGTGATTATGGTCATTCCAGTTCACGTGATGATTATCAATCTAGAGGATACAGGTATGGTGCATGGTGCTTTGTGTTCATGGCTTGGGGAAACATTCACAAATGGCCTGAAAGTCTTAATGGAGTTTTAATCTTTAATAGCTTAAAACTGCATGGAGGCTTTTGAGGCGACTATAAAATGGTGTTTCTGAGCAGACTCAATACCTTGATTTCTTGTTAAATTTAGTGATCGTGATGGCTATGGTGGTCGTGATAGAGACTATTCAGATCACCCCAGTGGAGGCTCCTACAGAGATTCATATGAGAGTTATGGTAAGAATTCAGTTTGAGGGTCTCTTAAGTTGATCTTAAGTTGAACGTGCTTCTGTAGACCTTGTGAACCAGTTTCAGGCTGTGCTTGCTTTTGAGGGATTTTATTTGCTTTGTGGGGTGACCTGGCAGATTGAGATCTTTTTTTTTAAGGGCCTTGAAGTTTTGCTAAGGAGTTGATCTTCAGGCTTTTTGCTTGCTTGGGGGGAGGGTTGCTTGCTTTTGAGGGTAAATTGGCAGTATTATGTGTTTTCCCCCCCAACAGTGAAAGTACCATTTAAAATGCTAATTGACAAGATCAAATATTTACCATTACAATATGAAGCAAAGTCTACAGTTGCAACTTACCACTGGACAATATGGCTGAGTTTCTACTGTAAAATAACAAGCTGTTCTGGAATGTCCTTAAAAGATGCCTCTTGAAATACACTCTTCAGTTTTTTCAAACAAACATAAACCATTCACTATTTCAGCAGATGAGCAATCCCCACTATAAATTACCAGCAGTGGCAGCTTTTACACCTCCATTCCAAAAAAAGTAAACATGTAATACAGGAATTCTTTAAATTCAGATTTAACTATTGTGTATATATAAGATTTATAGTGTTGCCATATTACCTGACCATTGACCCTGCAGGTAACTCACGTAGTGCTCCACCTGCTCGAGGGCCCCCGCCATCTTATGGTGGAAGCAGTCGCTATGATGATTACAGCAGAGATGGATATGGTGGAAGCAGAGAAAGTTATTCAAGCAGCCGAAGTGATATCTACTCAAGTGGTCGAGGAGATCGAGTTGGCCGACAAGATAGAGGGCTTCCCCCTTCTATGGATAGGGGATACCCTCCTCCACGTGATTCATACAGCAGCTCAAGCCGCGGAGCACCAAGAGGTGGCCGTGGAGGAAGTCGATCTGATAGAGGAGGAGGCAGAAGCAGATATTAAAAAGAAAACTTAAGTTTTTGGACCAAAACCCCCTTTCAAAAAAAAAAAAAACAAAACAAGTGGAGCTTGTTCTATCTTTACTACCAGAGGACTACTAAAAAGGAAACAAAATTGTTTTTCCTTTTTTTATTGCCTGTTAAGTTCCCCTCCATGATTTTTATGCTTTTGTGAAGAACAAGTTAAAGCAATGTTTAATTTCATTTCAGATTTGTTTATTTCTTTCCAAAAAACAGATGTTAAATGTGTGAAATTTGAGCTCTGTGTACCAGTATTGTAAGTTCCAAAGTAAAAGTTTCCCTGAAAAGCTACTTCCCATCTGATTTCCTGACAATTGAGAGAAGCAGTTCTTAAGACCTTCCACAAACATCCAACCATCTAAAATGGAAATGGTTCCTTCTACTTGTTCAAACCTATCATTCCAAACCAATTAGCTGTTTTGGAGGGTGGTTGGGGGTTATGCTGCTCCTTAAGATTTCAGGTTGTCCTTTTTGAAACTGAAACCTATGCAAGATTTCCCAGTATATCAGATGCTTAGTGAGGAAAAAATTCAGTAAAAAATCTTTCAGTAAACTTGAAACCACAAATGGATAGTCATGACTATACTTTGCCTTTTCCACCATTTTCTTGTGAATCTGCAAGACCATCCCCCCCAATAAAAAAAAATTACATGTATAAAACAACTACAGAATTCTAAATAAAAGGTTTGACTAGTTCCAACAACGAAGCTTCAAAATGATGCTTGCTCTTACTGTTTCAAATTTTTGCAACTCTGTAGTGTCTCACTTTTAAAGGAACAGCTTGATTCCAAAGGCAAAGGAGAAAATAGATAAGCAAAGAAGTTTAATCTTCAACTTCTCAAAGGCTTATGACTTCTAAAAACAAGTGACTCTTTCAGCATTCCACTTCAGATATAAAGCATCAAATGCCTGTGAAACAGCAAAGATGGTAAGCAAAGCAAACTAGTTTTTCCGTCTAAGTCAAAATTGAACAAAGTATCTTCCTCATAGTACAGCGAGACATGGCTGTACGTCATGGCAAATGGAAGTGCTTTCTAGATAACCTTTGGAAAAGCAATATTCACTAGAGTTAGAAGGCTTCCAAATTCAACATTTTCTTCTTGGATTTTTTTTAAAGCATGTATAAAGCTTAAAGGCATTACAATGCAGCTCTTATAGACAGATTACATTTTGGGTTGGGGAGGGGGTGTTGTTTTTTTCTGTATGTTTTGATGAAGACAAAGCTGCATATGAATTTTTTTTCCCCAAAAGTAATCTTTAGTCATCATGAATTGGCTTAAAATTGGGTTTTTTTCCACAAGCAAGCCATTGCAAACTTAACATTTAGTTGGATGCCTGACTGACTTGTTTTAGTTTCATTGAAACTACACTGTATGGGGAAGAGTAGTCTTTTTTTCCTTTTTTTTAAAAGCAAAACACACAAAACCTGAGGCAACATTAGCCAGGTCCAGCCGTGAAGTTGAAATGATGCTCTTGAATGTAGTAAACTTGAAGACTTCCAACTAAAAATCCAATCTTTACACTGCACTATTCCTTCACAAATAATTCAACTTAATGGATTTAACATGGCAATCCACCATTGGAAAGGAATGAGAATCCATAAGCCATGCAACTTACCATTAAGCCAGTCCAGACCAATGAATCTGCCACCACTTAAAGAGTAAAACTTGAAATAGTAAACTGCAAGTCTGAACTTGACTTGAACTTTCTGGAATCAAGGGCAGTTATAGGCTGGCAAATTCAATGTTTTCTTTGGAAATTTCATGAGAGATAAGTTCTGTGTTTGTAATTTTTGCAGGCTGATCATTGCTGTCAGGAATGCTGATATTAAATGCTGTCTTGGTTATGTGCTAGAGTTGAAAAAAGCAGCTAATATATAAGGTAAGCAAATACACAGGATGTACCATGAGTATCTTCTAAAAGCTTTGTGCTGTCGTTATGATAAAGAAATTATTCAATTTGAGCCTTGAAACAAAGCCTTCCTGGCAAATATCTTTTGGCAAATTAAGGCGGGGGGGGGGGGTATTTGAATGCAGGTCTTGACAATGAACTTGAATAGGGTTCTGATCTATTAGGATCATAGGCTTGAAGTTGTAAAGGGGATTACATGAGAAAAAGGATTAATCACAAAGATTCTAAGTGATAGAAAATAACCAGGTTCCAAAGCCGTAAATATTCTTTCCATTGTGCAACACTGACTCTAGTTTCAATCTTAAGCTTTAAGAGATGGTAGGAGAGAATAATTGTTGAGTTGTAGGACTAAACAAATACAGTGATGACTGAAAGCATTCTTCCGTTTTACAGAGTCGCTACAGAAGCAGGATGCTGAAGTGTCACTGAAGTCACTTGCATCTCAAAGTTGATTTGGGCTCACACTACAGTTTTTGCCTTGGATGATCTCCTGTGAAATGAGCTGAGCAAAGACATCTGATGTTGATTACCATTACCCTTAACCCTTACATACAGAGTCTTTATTGGAAATGTTAAAATTTCTGGTGTATAGAGATCGGGGAAACTTGTCATTTTGGGCAGTAGCCGAGTTGTTACATATCTACGGGGCAGTAATAAGGTTTTGCCGATTTGGATTGGGGGGTGGGGGGAATCATGCTAAGTGTTAGTGAAATTGTAGGATTATTGATAGGAATTAATTTGCCATTTAAATCTGTTTAATTTTCTCCAAAAACACAAGAATGGTTGGATTGAGGTTTGGATAAATGGAAGACTATTGGGCTGGCTATAGGGAAACAATTGGAGCAGGAAGAAATTTGTATCCAATGCTTTAAATGAGTTCAGATATTACATGTGAACAATTGGTTTACCATAAAATCTCCAAATTGGAAAAATGAAAATTTCTGAAGTTGCCCAACAATAAAGTGGTTGGGATTTTTTGTTTGTTTTTGAACTGTTACATTATGTAATCCCTTTTCTCCCCCTCCCCCAACATACCCTGTAAATTTACTAGCAGAAGCAGGCAACTGCTACAAAAGTAAATCATGGAGGTTTTTTTTTTTAATCAGTAAAGATGTTAATTCGATTCAGTTTGTCCCCTTTCCCTTACATACTTCGAGTACTATCTTACTATAAAAATAAAGGGACTTAATAGGGGTAAGATTTTTTTTTCCAGAGCTCAGTAGTAAAACCTAAGCTTACATTTAGGAAAAACTTAATCTACATATCAGTTTTTTGGTTTTATCTTTATCGAGTTGTCTGCAACTATGTTCTAAATATATTGATATAACTCCTATTTAGGCTGTGTCCAGAAGCTTAAATAGCTACTTGGGACAGAAATTTATAGATTTTGCTTACTGATTGATTTTTCTGGTTCATCCTACTTTAAAAAAAAAACTTAGCTTGCATTAATGTAGTGCTTTTGAGGGGGAGCACTAATTACTCTTTTATATATATAAGTATTTTGATTTCTTGAGTAGATCTGTGTGGTAGACCTTAGAAAAATAATTGAGCAGATTTAACAGGGAGTACTAACAAGTTAAGTCTAGTTTATATAGTAAAGGATAAAGAATAGTTGTATATCTTTTAAGATAGGAAACTTGAGAAAGCAGAATGAATAGTTGGGTCCAGGTTTCCTTTTCACTGTTTTGAAAGGTCAGTCTTTGATCCACAATAGTTTGAGAAGGTAAAGGGAAATGGAAAACCCTTTTTGACTTATCAGGTTGGCCACTGATTATTTGAAACAGACTCGGGCAGTTTATAAAACAGTGTAATAAACGTGACTGTGCTATCACTAGCTGGAATGTTTGTGTTCAGAGCCTTTCATCTCACTTTATTAAAGTTGTTTATATTGTACATTCTTGGTTTTATTGAATAAATGTATGGTTTTTCTCTGTTTATGGTTTCCTGGGTCTTTAAATGAAAATGGTGTGCTTCCTTCTTGTGACTTAGCACACTTTTAATTCATTGGAGCTGGACCTAGTTGGGAAGGTGAAGAAAAGACATTTAGGGAACAAAACCATGTGAAATACTGACATTATCCCAGGCTTGCTACGATGAAATAGCAGTCTGGCATGTGCTGAACTTCAGTTCACTGAAGCTGCCCAAATTAAGAGTGAACCCCCAAGTGTTTAACTGTCTCTAATCTACCAGGCTCAACCTGGACTGTTGATCCAAAAATCTGCCGCTTCTGTTTTGATTTCTTGAGTAGATCACTGTGTGATAGGCCTTAGAAATATAATCCAGCAGGGAGTACTAACCAGTTAAGTCTAGTTTACATAGCAAAGGATAAATATCTTTCAAGATAGGAAACTTGGGAAAGCAGAACGAATAGTTGGACCCAGGTTTCCTTTTCACTTTGATTTGAAAGTTCTTTGATTCACAATAACTTGAACTAAAATGGAAAGATTTTTTTTGACAGAGGTTGCCCATGGATTATTTGAAAGACTGCAGTTTATAATCATGATTTGCTGTCACTAGGTGCATACATGCAGAAGTATAGCTAGTGGCCCTTATCTGTAATCAGACAATACTAAAGTGCTATTGTGACTCTGCTCTGTTTTCCCTGCTCTAGGCAATTTTCTAAGACAAAGCTGAAGAGAATCTTTTCATGGTTGAGAGTCCCCTCATCCCAATAAAATGACAGGTTCAGTCTCAGCTCCTAGTTTATTGGTATGGTTTTTATTTCTGGACAAGTGTTGGCAGGGTGGGAGCGATACATGCTGATTTACAAATTCATGGCAGGATTGGGGATGTCATGTATCATTCTCAGCACCTACTCTTACCTTATTTTGTGGCTTGTCCTTAATTGGGGGGGGGTGCGGGGGAAGTGTTAGAAATAACAGGAGCTTTTAAATGTTAAGTTAGAAAACCTTATCTTGTGCTGTTTTCAGGCCCCAGCAATTAAGCTTCTTTTCCTTGTATTTAAATTTGGCAGGGTCCTTTAGTAAGACCTGAGTTTAGCAGACTGATGTTACTATTCAGGATAGCAGTTGTAGACCTCTTCAAACCCTCAGGGTTCTAGATCTCCCCTGGTTACTGAATTTCACACCTGAGATCATGCTATAGTTCTGGAGCCATCCCCAGATAGTGCAGCCCAAGAGAACAAGCTTCACTCTCCCTGCCTTGCAGAGTTCCATCTTCTGACTTCTTTCCTATATCCTTTGCAGGGCTAATCTTACCTGTGTTTTCAGTCTTTGCCTATCACATCTTCAAATCCATGTGGGATTATTCCC